GCGACGACGCCGACGCCAACGATGAAGACGCAGCATCGCATCGCATCTCCAATGCCCCGATGCCAAGAGATATCAAGCGGGTCGGATGGGATAGGATCGGATCGGGACCAAACGGTCTCAGGTCTGGGGCTCTGTTGCTCAATTAACAATGAAAAGTCGGACTGGTACGTCATAATATATTTTTATCTGATTACCTGGCAGCGATACCCTGGCGATAGAGGTGAGCGCGTGTGTGTTGACACGCCAGATAGATTACCGCTCTCCAGATTTCTGGATTCATCTAGAGAGAGCCACCATGATCCTTTGACGATGGCAGCCCGTGTCACGCACTCACCTCTATCAGCGTGGCCCAAGACGAGACAGTGGCGCCGTTCGCCAGGGACGGCTCCCACAGAATCGTGCGTCAGTCTGTCCAGACATGGTAGATGGTGGCTCCAAGCGACATTCAACCAATTGTGGTTATTGCTGTTGTAATTTTTCGCGTGACTCTCATGTCAAGATTTGATCTTACTTGTGGCGTCGGCGTTGGCGGCAGGCGGCTGTCCCGAAGTTGTAGTCGCATCAATGATGCGCCACATGTGTCCCCGGCACCGGTAGGTTTGCCAAATTAGCCATATTTTAGTTGAACCTGTTCATTTTGTTTATTCGCGAGCTCGGGGAAAACTATAAACACTAATTAAGGCTTTATATCACATTTTTTACTACAAACTTCGTTTTCTTTCTTTCTATTTGTGTGTGTATAAAACAGGTGGCGCCATAGTTGATTCTTATTTGAATTTCAACACAAATACGTTTACATGGGAATGGTGATTCGAAGTAAACAAAACTCGAACAGCTGTGACGAACCGCGTTGCCAACTAATGGAAAAAAGTTCGGCCGCAAGAAAAACAGATTTAATAAAATGAAATAATGGTGGGCGGCTAAAAGTAATATTATCTAGCCAACTCAAACATAATTTAGTCAAAAAATTTCTCTTAAAAGCAGATCTGCTGAGTTTTTGCTATCCGCAGAGGTCAGCTGTCAAACGTGCAGTTGGCAACGCGGCAGTCACAGTGCGACTGTCAAAAGCGATAAAAAAGTTGTCTCCGCATCGAGAATTCAAATAAATATTTTCCAGCATTTCGGTAGGTTTTGCTCGATCTGTTCCGCAGCCACGCAGCTCCTCGAATTCCCGTGAAGTTTTACATCCCCCGGTACATACAATTATGAGGAAAAACAGTTACAGCGGGCACAAATCGATAGTTGACCAATGTTGCCAGGCAGCTTACTTATGTAATTGTTAGGAAAGAGGATTGCAGTTTTTGTGGTTGCTTCTCGTTGCAGAAAATATGATACGTGCACCGCTTGTCAAGGCGCTGGGCGCACTGGGCTCACCCACACATCAGATCGCCAGCCGAGCGGTGCGCACCAGCGCCATCGTGGCCCAGACACCGGCCAAGGCGCCCGAGAAAATCGAGGTCTTTGTGGATGATATTCCCGTGCAGGTGCTGCCTGGGACCACAGTGCTGCAGGTGAGTGTGTTGGCATCGTAATCCGACAGTGATCATCCATCATTTCCATCCATTCCCCGTCTGGGCAGGCTGCAGCCCTGGTCGGCGTTGAGATTCCGCGCTTCTGCTATCATGAGCGCCTAGCTGTGGCCGGAAACTGCCGCATGTGCTTGGTGGAGGTGGAGAAGAGCCCCAAGCCGGTGGCCGCCTGCGCCATGCCCGTCATGAAGGGCTGGCGCATCAAGACCAACTCGGATCTGACGCGCAAGGCTCGCGAGGGCGTCATGGAGTTCCTGCTGATGAACCATCCTTTGGACTGTCCCATTTGCGACCAGGGGGGCGAATGCGATCTTCAGGATCAGGCTATGGCCTTTGGCTCCGATCGATCCCGCTTCACGGACATAAACTACACCGGCAAGCGGTAAGAGTTCTGCGATCCTTTCAAATCCTCCTGCTGATTGCATCCTTATTTTCTGTCGAGTGCAGCGCCGTGGAGGACAAGGATATTGGGCCGCTGGTGAAGACCATCATGACCCGCTGCATCCACTGCACCAGATGCGTTCGCTTCGCCTCCGAAATTGCCGGCGTGGACGATTTGGGCACCACCGGACGCGGCAACGACATGCAGATCGGTACCTACGTGGAGAAGCTCTTCCTCTCAGAGCTCTCCGGGAACGTGATCGACTTGTGCCCCGTAGGTGCCCTCACCAACAAGCCCTATAGCTTTGTGGCCCGCCCCTGGGAGATCCGCAAGGTGAGCAGCATCGATGTCCTGGACGCCGTTGGCAGCAACATCGTCGTTAGCACCCGCACCAACGAGGTGCTGCGCATCCTGCCCCGCGAGAACGAAGACGTCAACGAGGAGTGGTTAGCGGACAAGTCCCGCTTCGCTTGCGACGGACTCAAGCGCCAGCGCCTAGTCGCCCCCATGGTGCGCATGCCCAACGGCGAGCTGCAGGCCGTGGAGTGGGAGGGAGCGCTCATTGCGGTGGCCAAGGCCCTCAAGAAGGCCAATGGACAAGTGGCCGGCGTTGCGGGACAGCTGGCCGACGTTGAGGCCATGGTGGCGCTCAAGGATCTGGTCAATCGCCTGGAGGGCGAGACGCTCGTCACCGAGCAGGGGTTCATCAAGGGTTCCGGTACCGATGTGCGAGCCAATTATTTGCTCAACAGCACCATTGCCGGCCTGGAGGAGGCCGATGCCGTTCTCCTGGTCGGCACTAATCCCCGCTACGAGGCTCCCCTGGTCAACACGCGGCTGCGCAAGGCCTATGTCCATAACGAGTCGCAGATTGCCTCCATTGGTCCCAAGATCGATCTGTCGTACGAACACGACAACCTCGGTTCCGATCCTGTCCTCATCAAGGACGTCTGCTCTGGCTCTCACGCCTTCTCCAAGGTACTCGAGGGCGCCAAGAAGCCAGCCATTATCATTGGTGCCGATCTCCTGGAGCGCGAAGATGGTGCCGCCATCCATGCCACCATCGTGGAGTATTGCCAGAAGCTCAAGAAGCCAGTGAGTCGCTCTTCATGCATCTCTCTTGTATTATTACGATTATTGCTTTGCCGCAATTGCAGGAGTGGAACCCCTTCAACGTCTTGCAGAATAATGCCGCCCAGGTGGGAGCCTACGATGTGGGCTACCAGCCGGGAGCAGATCGCGCCGTCAAGGCCCAGCCCAAGGTGCTGTTCCTGCTGAATGCCGATGCCGGCAAAGTGACCCGCGAGCAGCTACCCAAGGACTGCTTTGTGGTGTACATTGGATCGCATGGCGACAATGGAGCCTCCATTGCCGACGCTGTGCTGCCTGGTGCCGCCTACACGGAGAAGCAGGCTATCTACGTGAACACGGAGGGCAGACCCCAGCAGACATTGCCGGGCGTGTCGCCGCCGGGCATGGCCCGCGAGGACTGGAAGATACTGCGTGCCATCTCTGAGGTGGTGGGCACCCCGCTGCCCTACGACACACTCGACGAGCTGCGCGCTCGCCTTGAAGATATTTCGCCACATCTGACGCGCCTCGGAGAGCTGGAGTCAGCTGGCTTCAATGACACCGGTGCCCAGGCTGCCATCGTGAGTAGACCCTGGGTCTTTATCTATTCTCTCTGCCTCATGCACGACCTTTCCTTTTGCAGAGCAAATCCATCGGCGGCGGAGCCATCGATGTGAAGCAGAAGGAGCTGCGCGACTACTTCATGACCGATGCCATTTCACGCTCCTCCCTCACCATGGCCAAGTGCATATTGGCGGTCAACAAGCAAAAGCGGCAGGACGAGCAGGCCAAGCAGAGCGTGGCCATCTAGACCTCCTACCCCTGATATAACTACTTATTAATTAATGCTCTATATATTTTTTTTAACTTTGCTTCCGCCCCCGTCTCCTTAAGAACAGAACAGTCAGCAGGAGGAGTCGCAGCAGGAGTAATCGCCGGCATAGAACAGCCTTGGCGGAGCTCTAGGCATTGTGAAATGTCTTTCAAGTTGTTCAAAACGAAACAAAAAATAAATAATTATACAATACGTGAAAATAGGAAAAACCAAAATAAACATCAAATAGACAAATACAAAATAATCTTCGGACGGAGCTTTCCCTGCAGATGGGATTCCGGATACCCCTTTCCACTCAAAAGAACCCACGAAGGTTACCCCTCATTCTGATGATGCTATGGCCATCCCGCTCTTAGTCATTTGGAGAAAGCGATTCATTTAAGTTGAACTCGATATATTGGGTGTCGCTTAAAGAGGAATATTGTTCAGAGGTTCTTGGGTCCTTAAGCTTGAAATACAGATAGATATAATGCCATATCCTGTACAATTTAGTCTCTATAATGTCGAATGTCAGATTATAATTTAAGCTGAATAATCCTCAAGCTGTGAGGTTTCTTGGAGAGAACTCACCAAATATGCAACGAAAATTGCATAGGAATATTTAAAACTCTAAAAACCAACCAGCAAATAAGGAAGGATATAATAATAGGCAAAGTAAAAAGTGTCTTAGAACATTATAAGCCATTCGTCTTTCGAAGCACGATACATCATAGCAATAGTTCGAACTAACTTGGGCTTCAAGTTTTTCTCTACAAGCAATCATCCTTGTCTGTTGAGGATGACCCATTATGGGCCCCTATTTTTGATTGCCACAAGTAATTCCACCTTTAATCCCCAAATGTCAATTCATTTTTGTCCTGGTTTCACTTATTCCAGAAGGTCTGAAAGGCTCACCAATAACTGAGTGACCTCCTATAAAATTACTGTCTGAGGAGTCATTGGTCAAGGGTCAAGGTCCACCTTCATTGATTGGTTTTCAGGTGTGCTCTAGAGCCTATGTCGACATATGTATGTATGTTAAATTGGATTAGGGCATGCAGAAATGCATGCAATAATTTCCATATTTTTAAAAGGCAGTCGCAGCTCCGTGGAGTGGAATCCACCAAGTCCCAATACCAGATGTGGATTTTTAGATCCTTTTATATGATAGAACATATATGCTTGAACAAAACAACAAGACATCTTCTGATTGTGGGTGAAAAATTATATTTTCCTACCATACAGATAGTGTTTTTCATGGGGTACTATAATTTGTTAACATAAATTCAAAATTTTGAGTGCAACTGTGGGGCATGGGACAGGTCAACGGGTAACAGGAGGGAGCAGGTGTTGGGGTCCCTTGCGGCGGCCTCCAGGCTTCCGCCGGTCACCATCTCCAGGTCCCCGGTCCCCGTTCCCCGCTCTCTCTCTCTCTCTGTATCCTGTGTATCTTTGCCCCAGAGAAAGGGGTTCGGCAAAGGCGTAGGTTGAGGCTATTGTGTGTTTGGGGGACTAATTGTGTGGAAACTTAAACGAAACGTAAACTTTGTATCGCTGGGCCGCGGCAACAACAACTCAATTCAATTCAATTTGCTGGTTGCGGGCAGCGACGGCTAAGGCGGTGTCTCCCTCCGGCTGCAGGGGTATCTTCCGGGGGCAAGAGCAGATTTAGCTGCAGCAGCTGGCCGGCGTGGGGTCCAGGCCGGAGCGCTTGGTGATGCTGAGGCGTGTGAATTCCTCGGCGGTGGTCGGATGGATGCCCACCGTGTTGATCAGGGTGTTGATGGTCAGGCCGGACTTGAGGGCGGCGGCAAAGCCCTGGATGACCTCTCCGGCAACGGGTCCCAAATAGTGGAGACCGTAGACGCGTTGGTCGCCGGTGCGCTCGGCCACGGCCTTCAAGTAGCAGTAGCGCACGCTTTTCTGGGGAATAAAGAACTCCGTGGGCTTGTAGTAGCCGTGGAAGACCTCCACTCCGTCAGCGCCGTGTTGCTTGACGGCATCCTCCTCGCTGAGGCCCACGCAGGCGTACTCGAGGGGCGTGAACACGGTGGTAGCCACGTCCGAGTAGTCCATGCGCTGGTTGGAGCCTCCGTAAAGGCGACGGGCCAGGAGACGGCCGGCCAGAACGGCCACAGGTGTCAATTCGGGCTTGCCGTAGATGATGTCGCCAACGGCGAAGATGTTGGCCACATTGGTGGCCTCCTTTGTGTCCACTTGGATCTTGTCCTTGAATGTGGTAACGCCAGCGTTGGACAGATTCAGATCCTCAACCAGCCCCTTTCGGCCCACGGCCCAGAGTACGGTGTCATAGGTGTCTTCACCCTCCTCGCCAGTCTCCGTGTTCTTGTACTTGACCAGCAGCTTTCCGTTGTCCTGCTTCTTCACCGAAAGTGGCACCGTCTTGCGCAGGAAGGGAATGCCGCGCTCATCCATCGAGGAGGCCACCAGCTCGGCCATCTGCTGGTCAAAACCACGCAGCACAATCGAGCGCACCATTACAGTGGGCTCGTAGCCGAGCCCCTTCAAGAAGCCAGCGCACTCTAGGCCAATATCTGTGTGAAAACAGAGATGGATTAGAGCGGATGGAAGGAATCATCAAATATCCTACTTACAGCCAGCGCCTACAACCAGAGTCTTGCCGGGCTCGTGGTCCAGACTGAACAGATCATCGCTGGTGATGCCGTACTCGACGGCTCCGGGAATGTCCGGATAGCGGGGACGTCCGCCCACGGCAATAACGAATGTCTGGGCGGTGATTGTGCGGTCGCCGCTCTTCAGCTTGGCCACCATGGTATGCCTGTCCACAAAGGAGCCCAGACCATTGATATACTCCACTTTTCTGTGAAAATAAAGATTGGTGATTAGATAGATTGCGGGGCACAGGCAGGCAGGGTCCACTTACTTGTCGCGCAGATCCACACGAGTCACCCAATTGACGGACTTGATGTGGTTCTGCACAGAGGAGACCAGCTTGCTCCAGTCGGGCTTAATTTTGTCATCCACATTCCAGCCATAGGCGGCGGCCTCGTGGACAGCCTCGCCCAGCAGAGAGGCCTGGTGCATCAGCTTCTTGGGAATGCAGCCAACATTGACGCAGGTGCCGCCAACGCCCCACTTGGTTCCGATGGGCGTGGGTTTTACGTAGTCCAGGCAGGCTACACGGGCCCCATTCTGGACGGCCTCCTTGGCGCAGGCCAGACCCGCTGAGCCGCCGCCAATCACAACCAGGTCGTAGTCATAAGTACCTGCAATGGAAGGAATGCCAAGAGAATTGTGTTTTCAATCGGGTCGGAAGGATATTTAAAGATAGCACCTCCTTGGGCCATTGGTAGATCCCGACGCAGGCGTATGTCGATGTAGGCCGAGCGGTAGACGCTCCGCTCATGCGGTGGCTCTCCGGCGGCCACGGAAGCGGGCACAAAATCGAAAAGATGCATGTCCAGACAGGATCCGCGGCAGAGTCCTTACTGAACGAACGTCTTTACCCAGTCTTTGCTTAGATGCAATTCAGAGATAGCCACACCTTGACCCTGTCCTCGGCCTGCCCCACATGCCAGGCAAATCAAATTGAAGCAATCATCTGTGGCACGCCCGTGCCATGTACTAACGCGACCCCCTGCGATTTGCTTTGGCCCTTTGGGGACTGCCATGGTTACAGCCCAGTAATCGTAATGGCAATCGCTTTTGAAGCCAGAGGCAAGACCACAAAACAACAGTTGGCAGCCCCAGCCGCAGCCCCCAAGCAGATATCAGTTTTCCCCCGTATTCCCGGTTTATCTGTTTCCCGATCTTAAAACCACATTTGTCGTCACATTGCAATCAATTGTTGATGTTTGTGACGATGACGAAGTCCAATGATGATGCAACTATCCATTTGTTATGACGATAAGGAATAGCATGCACAAATGATGGTGAAATCACACCCAGAGAGAGAGAGAGAGATAAAGAGATTCTCGAAAGTTCCGTTGGCTCAGCAAAGGGTCACACTAAAGAGAGTCTTGTGAAATTAATGTATGGGTAAATGTGTGCCTGTACCCGCACCTATGCATGTACATATGTACATATGCATGAGTTCAATAAATTTTTGGAAAGCTGTTAGTGCCCTCCACAATGACTTTGCAGATTGTCGAAACGATTGCCGGCATAAACCTTTTGCCGATCTACGTGCGGGAGTACGAAATGCGATAAGCTTATTTGTATGAGGGGTAACGGGGTTTGGACTAACTGTTATTGCATAAGCGATATACATTGAAAGGGTCGGTCTGCCTGACAACAAGGAGAGGTCTTTGTACAATCAATCTCTGTGTACCCCTCTGCTTACCTCTAGAGGACTGCTGACGATTGGGCTGATGATCGTACATCGTCTGCCTGTCGCAGTGTGGATGCTGGGGGGCAACGGCAGCTGCTCCTATACCGCCTATGTTGGCAGAATCTGTGGTGTCGGTCATTTGTGATTTCCCCTGACGATTGCTCTGCATCGTGTATAGAGTTCGCTGCCTTGGCTTGTCGTTGTTATGAAAACTCAGGATACTTGAATTTGTGAACTTGTTTTGTAGAATGCTAGTGGCAACAGAGCCAGACGTGAATATCGTCGCATACTGCCGCACGAACGTCACCGAGAATCTCGAGTTCCACAGGGTGAGCGACATGTCTTACGGATGGATCTATCTCTCTCCAGAAAATTAGCGAACTTTGCAAAAGCTGTAGAACGCCTTCTGGTCTAGCGGCGGTGGAACAACACAGAAAACACGTCGCTGTTGGAATGCCACGAATCTAGTGGGTAGGCGGAGGCGCCGATAGCGGGCTACGTAACAGCGAGACATAGGAGAGAGCGGCGAGAGTGCGCACCGCTGATGCGAATGCGACGAGCAAAGAGGAACGTCGATAGAGCGTTCGAGATGACGGCAGCGGCAACCGAGACAGCAAGAGGGCCACCGCGAGAATTTGCACAAATCTCCATTAATTCCAATTGGAAGTGCAACAGTTGTCCGCTCTAGGGTTGCTAGCATTGTATGCCTCCTTTTCAGAAGAACTGCATCCATTCCAAAAAAAGGGAAAAATGGACTTCGGGGTATCGATAACTTCGGCAGGATGGTTGGCAACACTGTCAGCTGCCTCCGGCGGCCGTCAAATGACTTTTTGTTACGATAATAAACTCAAGTGTGGAAAGCAGATAAGCGACCAGAAACGTTGTTCTGGCAAAATCCATCGAGCCAGACAGACGTCCAAGCCGCTTAGAGCCCAGCCCTAGCATTCAGCCTGTGTTTGCCGCCAGTGTCGCACATTTTATTGTGGCCCATAGCCCTAATCTCGAGTGTGGACCGCCACTGCACGATTAGATTTACGCTGATCATCAAAGCCGAAGACCGACGACGACGGGCAGAAGGACAAGATGAACTCCATTCTGATAACCGGCTGCAACCGTGGCTTGGGCCTGGGCCTGGTCAAGGCCCTCAACAGCCTGCCTCAGCCGCCACAGCATCTCTTCACCACATGTCGCAGCCGGGCACAGGCAGTGGTGAGTACTCGCTTGATTTATTTTTCATTTCGTCAAGTCATAGTTGCCCCCTCCATGACTCATATCCCAAGAAACTACACGAATGACAATATAACTAGACAGACAGACAACAACTACAAACATGACGGCCACTAATTCGTGGTCATTCTCTCCAGTTTACTCCACACTTTCACACTCACCTTCCACGGGCGCCATTTTTTGTATCGTCGTTAGATTGTCCAAATAATTCAGGCCAAGGGACAGTATCAGCAAAAGACGTGCACGCAAAATAATACCTTAAGATTGCGGAAGAAATAGCAGTTATTAAGATCTATCTATCACTCTTGACAGCGAAACGCAAATGGGAAATAAGCGGCGCAAGCCTTATTGCAATAGCTTTTGTACTAGTGTTTAGGGCTGCAAAAATATCGCTGGTACTATTGATAATATCGATGGTTTTAAAATTTTAGCGATAGATCTATGGTTTTTTCGACCATCGTTTCGAATATCGTTCTTTCTGCATTCATTGGAGCCAAGGATGACAAAAACTTTTTTCCAAGGGTGGAATGCTCATTTCTCAATCTGTGGTGAACACCTTACAACTGGACTGGTACACCCCAAAGGAGACCTTCTTCAGTGAGAAATTCACCTCGCAAATTTATTGCAAAATCAACTTCGGCAATGTTGCAAACAACAATAGCTTCGACACATTTGCTACATGTAAAATATATATATATACATGCGATGAAAATCGAAAGCGCCAAAGTAGAATTTTTTGAAAGAGAATTTAGTGAAGCTTGACAGCACGATTTATGCAGAATGTTGTCTATACAAATTGGATGTTTCCAACGGTAAAAAACGTAAATTAAATGTGTATGGAATCTCGTTGTTGAAGGGAAATTGTTCTGATGAAACGGCTATCAATACTATCGGCTGAATACGCTTGGAGTGACAAGGATGTACACGTAATCCCTTGCACTTAAAAACGATGTGGTCCTAAAAGATAAGGAAAAGAACGAGAAAACCATTATACTGATTGAGTAGGTGACCCGGAAGTTTTAGAAATTGCTTTAATTTTCAGCAGCGCTTTGAATGTTTTCATTATCGTTTGCTTGTGATTTCTTGGTTGCATTGAACTGGCATATCATATCAAGACTATGGGGCCATTTTGTTAAAACACCATATCCTTACATCCATATCATACTTGCATGTAGCTTGAACACTCATCGTTTGTCAACCGACTTCATCTAGGGTATGGACATTTGTATACCATATTTCCTTCAATTTATGTTAAAGTTATGTTTTTTAAGGCGGCTTTGAACAATGATTTCTTCTCGGATTAAAATGTCTTTGACCTATTCATGCGTTTAATTAGAATTCTGTATATGTATGTCCATATAAATCTCGATAGCGTTACATCTGTAAACTGGTATCTACCATTAGCAGCCCTTAAAAAGATAATAAACTTCTTCTAATGTTTTCGCTTTAAAGGAACTGGAGGATCTGGCCAAGAAGCACTCGAACATACACATCTTGGAGATCGGTGAGAGGACAGTGGCCAGAGTCTGGAACATTCCACAAACAATACAAAAACAATTCTTGCAGATTTGAAAAACTTCGATGCTTATGAGAAACTGATCGGCGAGATCGAGGTCGTAACCAAGGGTGAAGGCCTCAATGTGCTCTTCAACAACGCAGGGGTGGCCCCCAAGTCTGTGCGCATTGGTGCCACCAGGCCACAGGACATCCTAGATACCCTGCACACCAACACCGTGGTGCCTATCATGCTGGCCAAGGCCTGTCTGCCGCTGCTTAAGAAGGCTTCCGAGGCGAACGGCAGCGAACCCATGGGCGTAAGCCGGGCCGCTATCATCAACATGAGCTCCGTGCTGGGCTCTATTGGGTCAAACACGGATGGCGGCATTTATGGCTACCGTACATCAAAGTCCGCCTTGAACGCGGCCACCAAGTCGCTGAGCATCGACTTGTATCCGCAGAAGATCCTCTGCATCAGCCTGCATCCCGGCTGGGTGCGCACCGACATGGGCGGCAGCAGCGCCCCCTTGGACGTGCCCACGAGCACCAACCAAATAATCCAGACCCTCTGCAAACTGAACGAACAGCACAACGGTGGCTTCATCAACTACGATGGCTCTCAGCTGCCCTGGTGATGACCGGTGATAGTGCCTATGCATGTTATATCCCTTGTTGACCCTTATTGTTGTGGTAAATGCTGTTAAATAAAGTAAAGGGAAGACAGCGTTAGTGTATGATTAGAGTTGTATATTTTTACGTGCATTCTACTGGATTACAGAAGGGAGTATTGATGTGTCATCCTGACGTAGGTCCTGGGGAGGTGTCGCAAACGGGAGTTTAACGTAATCCCTAAATGCATTCTACCGCAGTTTGCGAATGCTTACACACAAGAATTTGAAATTTCTATGATACATCAATTGATTACGATCTAAAAGTGGGGTAAATTTGCATGATTGGGTTTCTTCATGCGAGGTGGCACCACGGCTGTGGGCACTCTGGACGCAGCATTGCCTGATGCGGGCCGTCCACGGGTTGGTACTGTACCCTCATCGGGCTCGTGGTGTGCAGCGCCATTGGTTGCGTCAGGCGGCAGTGGCAGCTGACGCGGCATTACCATGGCTGTTGGGCGAGAAGAGGGCTCAGCACCGCCTGCCTCCGGGTTTGGGAAAAAGAGTCCTGAATTGCCCTCGATGGGGTAGGGCGCGCGACGACGTGGATCTATGCGTGGCCGCCGACTGTTGGCATTACCCAGAACCGAGTCGTGGTTCAGTAGTGGTGGGTCGTTCCACCCAGGTGTGAGGGAGCCTGTTGGGGTGGAGGATTAGGACCTGCTGCAAGTTGAATCGATCATCGCTCGATTTCTTACCAGGAAAGGCACCATTGGGCACCACGCTCGGTCCAACTGGCAGAGGTGGCTGTTGGACGCGCACTTGTCGTCGTAATTGTTCCTCAATCTCCGCATCGAACTGCGCCAACGACTGAGTCACTCGGGGCGACACAGCCGCTGCTGGTGGCCCCTGCCGTCGTGGTTCGGACCCGTTCGTGTTATTCATTATTGTTGAATATGTTTTTTCCTGGACTTTTTGATAGATTTTTGTCTGTAATGTTGTGGAAAATGTGTAGTCTATCGATAGCAATTTGTTGGGTCTGTCTATCATAGTATGATGCACAACAAAACTTACTCGCACAACCAGAACACTTTTTCCATCCTTTCCCTTACTTAATAGTCTGCATCTTGATGCAAATAAGCATCTTTATGCCTGCCTTGTACAGTTTTTAGCCTTTTTTTTATTTTAATAGTGTTTTTTTTATTTCTGCGTAATTTGTAATATTAGAGACAGTGTGACCGTTTCGAAATAATAAGAGTAATACCCCGTTTGCACACAACGCAATCATGAGTAGAGAGTAAATCAACTAAAGCGTCTCGTCTTTCAAAAATCGAAACAAATAAATTTGTTCGACGAACGAGTTCTCCTGTGGATGCGCTTGCTTAACATATTTTCTTTAGTCTTTTCTATATTTTATATAGTCTATATTTTTAAAGATTCCGAAAGGTGGTAAGAATCACGAAATATAAACCTGAAGACAGCAAAAGCACAATTATCGAAAGCGTTATCTTCAAACTACCACGATCTAATAGAAAAATTATCGAAATGTTTGAGTCGTCGCGTTAATTCGATTAGTTCGTTACGTTATCATTGCATTTGCAAGGCCAATGCGCCAGACTTTTTAAAATTGTTGGGATTTGTGGGATGGAAAGTAGGCAAAATTGTCAAATGTCTTTGTATGGCTTCCCATTGGGCACTTTATGCACCTCGTTTGGAATGAAACTGAAGCAACCCAACACTCATCGATTGCATTAGGCGTTCAACTTCCTTTTTTGTTTGTTTAGTTTTGATGCTAATATGGCCTCTTACAATAGCCGCTGTCACACGCACAAGAGTCTTAAATCTAATCTTGTGCAGTGGCCAGCAGCTGCAATAAGTACCGATCGAGCTAAATCACATATTCACTGAATCACTGGGAACTGAAATGGAAATATGTTTGGGGATTGCGAGTGGGAGTTGGCTTGGGAGCAGGTTTGAGGACTGGCAATTGGGAGACGGGGATTTTGCCGAATGTTGAATAAATAAATGATGATGATGCCCCCAACATATGTTCAAAGTTCCAGGCTAGTTATGGGGTTAGCGCCATCAAAGTTTCCCAACTCGCTCTCCCATCGGTAATTGGTCTCTGAGGGCAGGGGCTGAGCACGTTTTGAATATTTGATTTCCAGAATGCCGGCTGCGGTTTGGGATGGGTCCTCCGCCAGCTGTTCCTCACTTCTTTTTTATTGATTTTCAATTTAAATACGTTTTTTAATATACGTGTGCTTCGTTTTTCCTTTTTGCAAGTCCAATTTAATCGCCGCTCCGCTAATTAATAATATTTCGGCTGTCCGGGACATCCTTATAGCACTTCAAACACACACAGAAAACTTAAAAAAAAATGTAAGAGGCTCTGTTGGGAGCTGTCCTGCCAGGAATTGACCAGGGATTCATCCTGTCTTGTGGCTCCGACTCTGAATCTATGTTTCTGGCTGTGGCTGCTGCTGGAGGGTGCTGCTCTTCCGGATGGTTGTCGCTTAATTAACGGTGTTTCACTGAGACATTGTTCTGGCTGTCGCACGGCTTTTATAGTTGCAGGTGGAACTACTGTCACGCTGCCGCTGTCGACGCTGCTGCTGCTGCCGTTGCCGACTGCGTCGTCGCATCCCTCGGACTTGTTTAAGTTTTTTCAACTGCAACAAAAAACACGGACGGACGAAGACTTACATGTGTGCGTGTAATATTGTTAGGGCCTCTTCGTGTCTGTGTGTGTCCCAATCGGAACGGAAAAACTGCTGCCTACTTTCAGGGGCCGTCCTCTTTGAAAACCTACAAAGGAAAAGCAGAAGTAGCAGCAGCAGCACCGGCAGGAGCAGCTGAGCGGCAGAAGTCAATCGAAGTAAAAAAAAAGAACGCGGCACATTTCCAAAAGTGCTACAGACAGCCAGACATTGAGGCAGGTTTTGTGCCCCGACACTGCCGCCCCACGGGGTGCTTGACACTTTGACCAAAGGCAAAGCCAGCCAGAGCCAGATCCAGAGCCAAAGCTGAAGCCGAAGCCCAATTGGAAATATGATCCGTATGGAGATATGCACCTGCAACTGGAATGGCTAGCAGCGAGCGTGGGGAACACACACAATCACTGAGGAAACCCCATGCTGTTCATCCCCCATCTCCCATTCACCATTACACGAGGGCGTTACAAAAATTAAATAACATTTTTCCACCTGCTCTGCCCCCGCACTTGTATGGCATCCCCAGGGGCGCAGGAGGTCCGGTCCAGTTCGGTCCCGGGGCTTGGAATGCTTCGTTGGCCAGCGCCCGTACAAGGGAGCTCTACCACGGGTTGAGGGTGGGGTGTTTGTTTCTGTGCGTGTGGATGCGTACGTGTGTGTGTGTGTGTGTGTGTGTGTGTGTGTGTGTGGGAGTGGGTGTGGGTGTGGGTATGAGTATGGGGAATCTCAACAAAGGTAACGGTAAAGGTAACACCAAACCTAGAGCTTAAGCAGCGCGTATCAAGTGACAGATTGTCTGCGGCAAGCAGGCCATCGGAGGCGATCAGTCGATTGCCGTCTTGGGGAAACCATAATTTCTAAAGCATTTTCCACATACATATACATATACATAAGTCATTGCTTTCCAACCAATGCACTATGGGAAATTTTCCCAACTTTAGTGGCAATAATTAATACTCTTCCAAACTAAAAGATATTTTTGGTTTAGTTTTTTGATAAGAGTTTATAATATTAAGAAGAAGGCACTTTAAAAAAATGGTCGTGGCAGCTCCTTTTTATACCCGATACTCAAAATGAGTATTGGGGTATATTAGATTTGTGGTGAAAATGGATGTGTGTAACGTCCAGAAAGAATCGTTTCCGACCCCATAAAGTATATATATTCTTGATCAGCATCAATAGCCGAGCCGATTGAGCCATGTCTGTCTGTCCGTCCGTCCGTCTGTCCGTCCCTATTAGCGCCTAGTGCTCAAAGACTATAAGAGCTAGGGCAAAGATGTTTTGGATCCAGACTTCTGTGATATGTCACTGCTACAAGAATATTTTAAAACTTCGCCCCGCCCACTTCCACGCAGAATCGGAGAGAATGACCATATCTTTTAGACTGCAGAATCTGAATTGGATCGTAATATTATTATAGCCAGCATCAAGAAAACAATTTAATTTTTTCTCGCCCTGTCTCTCTCTAACACACACGTAGCATAACCGGCTTTGCTTAGAGTAAAAAATTAGCGCCTAGATCTCAGAGACTATAAAAGCTAGAGCAACCAAATTTGGTATCCACATTCCTGTGATATCGGACCTTGATTCCGCCTACACAAAAGACGAAAATCTGTTGCACCTACAATATTGCAAATTCGAGAAAACTAAGAACGCTGAATCATAGATAACGACCATATCTATCAGATTGCTGAATCTGGATCCGATCAGATAATTTGTATAGCCAAAAGGAACAAATCAATTTGCAGTGGCTACGCAGCGCCCGACGTCACGCTGAGACTGATTTTCTGTCTCTCTCGCACGCACTCTTTGTCGTGTCGTTTAATATTCGCGGCGTCTGCCGGAGGAGAGCCATACTGACTAAGTATCGGGTATAAATGTAGAGTTGCGGTGTCCGCAGCAACTCACAACGTTGCCCCTCGTTTGTAATTGTTAATAGTCACTGCAAATTGATTTGTTCCTTTTGGCTATACAAATTATCTGATCGGATCCAGATTCAGCAATCTGATAGATATGGTCGTTATCTATGATTCAGCGTTCTTAGTTTTCTCGAATTTGCAATATTGTAGGTGCAACAGATTTTCGTCTTTTGTGTAGGCGGAATCAAGGTCCGATATCACAGGAATGTGGATACCAAATTTGGTTGCTCTAGCTTTTATAGTCTCTGAGATCTAGGCGCTAATTTTTTACTCTAAGCAAAGCCGGTTATGCTACGTGTGTGTTAGAGAGAGACAGGGCGAGAAAAAATTAAATTGTTTTCTTGATGCTGGCTATAATAATATTACGATCCAATTCAGATTCTGCAGTCTAAAAGATATGGTCATTCTCTCCGATTCTGCGTGGAAGTGGGCGGGGCGAAGTTTTAAAATATTCTTGTAGCAGTGACATATCACAGAAGTCTGGATCCAAAACATCTTTGCCCTAGCTCTTATAGTCTTTGAGCACTAGGCGCTAATAGGGACGGACAGACGGACGGACGGACAGACAGACATGGCTCAATCGGCTCGGCTATTGATGCTGATCAAGAATATATATACTTTATGGGGTCGGAAACGATTCTTTCTGGACGTTACACACATCCATTTTCACCACAAATCTAATATACCCCAATACTCATTTTGAGTATCGGGTATAAAAATATGAGGCCAATTTCGACTGTGCAAGGCCAAAAAACTTATTAAAAAACCATATGATGGGACTGAATTGTACAAATTTTACTTAAATTGTTTAATTTTAAACCTTATAGTACTTCAAAGTTGCAAGAACAAATTTCAGTGTTAACAGAATAAGCTTCTAGCTAGAGATCAGCGGACCAGTGAACAGTGGTTCCCGCTGATAACATTTAATATCAATGTGTTTTTCATATATGTGGCGGTTAAAGCTATATAATTTGAACAATTTTTGAAAAAATGATTTTAGCCGGAATCAATCACTATCTCCAATGCATTGGAGTGCAATGCGGCCGGCCCCTGTTAGTATGCTTCAAAAGCAAGCAAATTCAGAGGAAAACCCCAAGCAGACAAATATAGATGGAATTTTATGCGGGCTAAGGATGTTCTTGGGAAAGATTTGGTCAATAAAACAAGAATTAAATAAATATAAATCGAGTTTAATCAGTTTTGGAAGGTTGTAGATTGTATTTGAAAAGAGATGGAATTTGGTTATATTCTTTACAAAAAAAATTATAATAAAAAGATATAGTCTTCTGTGCAAAATATTGTATTTGTTTAAAGACCATTATAAATTGTATTTGAAAAAAAGAAAGAAATGGGGCTCGTGGAGACTTGTAGATTGTACATATTTATAATGAACTGGATGATAGAAAAAAACTAAACTTTGTGTATAATTGTAACAAGAAATTATTAGTGGAGAAAGTTATACAGGAATTGGAGATTAAGAAGACTACTCTTTGAATTTGAAAAGATATGGGTTATAAATTGTGTCTGCAAAGAAAT